GGTATGGAACTTCCGCGATAACATCACAGAATTTTGCGTTGCATAGAGCGCTTTTACGAAACCCAAAAAAGACTCATCTCCTGGCACAGAACGAACCAAGAAGGGGAAGCATTCACATACCAGGCGTTCTAGTGCATTCAAGGCAGTATGAGCCATGTGCATCAGCTAAAAAAAAAAAAGGAACGGGAAGGGAGTGGGGAAAGAGAGGAGAACGACCAAGTTAGGAAGAGCGGAAGGCAAAGCAGTGAGGCAAGAGGTATCAAGGCAGCAAGGCACAGCAAGACAAAAACAGCAGTGAGACAAAACAAAATTGTCAAATAGGTGACACTCAAGAAAAAGGGGATGCAGCCAGGTATAACCGAGGAAGGAACGTAAAACATGCAAAACCCATACGAGCAAATAAAGAAAAAAAAGGAGTACCAAAACGGACAGAGAGCAAAAAAAAAAAAAGTTAATGATGATAGATTGTTTCGTCGGACTCCCACCGACTCATGAGGAGGCTGTACCCCAGCAGTCTGCCCAGAAAAGATTTCACGCTGCAGACCCCTGAAAGCCGGTCACATACCCCCACAACTCCAGAAAGGTCCGAAGTTCCCAGTCCCAGCGTCACGTAGGGTACGTCTGATAGGCCAGTAAATTGTCATAGGTCTGGTAGGCCAGTGAAACGTCATAGGCCCAATCCAGGAAACATCCGGAAGAGTGAGGGTGAAGTTGAGAGTCTGGTACCCACAGAAAAATGTAGAGGGTTGAGTCGTTGTACAGCCTGTCCGGTACCCCACCGAAAAGTCCGGAAAGTCCTTCTCAAGTCCACAAAATTGCAGCAAGACCCAGGAAAGCCCAGAAGATTCCGGACCGACAAAATGATTGCAGCAGACAGGCCGTGGCTGACCTGTATCGGTCCAGTCTGAGGCAGGCCAAGCCAAGTCCAAATCCTATACTTAGCTGCTACAGTGCAGCAAGGGAACACAGTTGTTCATTCGTGAAGTTGTGGAAGCGCTGCTGCTGCTTGTGCGACCAAGCGACTTGGGCAAGACCGCGCTTGAAGAAGAACCGAGTGCCGAAGACGACCATACCTAGGGTAGTGGTAGAGAAGCAGGGCGGCCATAGCCGCAAAAAGGTCTGAGTCTGATCTGAGTAGGTGTATTCAGGGAGCGATCCAAGGCTGAGCAGAGGAGGAGAGTGAGAGGGAGAGACTGAGGCTGAGTGTTACAAGATCAGAGAGCGCATGAGAGAGAGAGAGAGAGAGAGAGAGAGAGAGAGAGAGAGAGAGAGAGAGAGAGAGAGAGAGAGAGAGAGAGAGAGAGAGAGAGGGAGGAGCAGGGAGGAAGTGGTAGTCAGTTATTTATGTTACGATCCTGGCCCATTTCGAAGTCCACAATCATCAGAAAGTACAATGTTGTCCAATTGCGAAAAGAAATGAATGAACTTGAGCCCAATGCCGTCCAATTGCAAAAGAAATGAAAGAACTTGAGAGGAGAGAGAGGGAAAGAAGAAGAAGAAGAATTAAGAAAGAAGAAAGAGATGATGTACTCCAGCATAGACCAAAGACAAATCTCTTCTTCTTCGCTCAACAMCCTCCTCCTCTTTATCTCCTCCTTCCTTATCCAAACAATAAATAAACAATAATAATGTTGAACAGCTGAACCAGAATCAATGTCCGAATCCCACTTCTACTGCAGGCACAAGATGAGGTCCACCATAGCCCTGGCAGTCCTTCTTCTTCCTCCACATACAGGCCGAGGCTATGGTGGAGTACTGAGGCTTCAGCCTCCCGTACAAAGACAACCCAAAGCAGCTATACCGCTGCCCTACTTCAAGGTCATCACCCAGCTGCTATGCCGCTGCCCACTCAGCCGCCATGCCTGACTCTGTCCGAGCTTCCTTGATGCGGCACTACCCCCACTGGGGCCTTCCTGGTGCAGCGCCTAGCAAGGAGATGAAGATGGTGTCTACCATAGCCGGTAAGTACCTCGCCACTCTCCTCCTTGGTCCCCTTCTCCCTCCTCCTCCTACCGGTAGAGCTCCACCATAGCCAAGGTGGAAGCTCCCGGCTTCTTCCTCCCAGCAGCGCTGTAGTGCCCAGCGCTACTCCAGCCAGCGCTCCAGCAGCGTGACACCCAACTCGCACACTGAAGAATGAGGCTGGGCTCTCCGCCCTGCCTCTTGATATAGCGGCCTACTTGCCTCCTGGGCGGTGACTTCCAGGCCGCTCGGCCTCTCCAAGCAACCGGTACTTCCTCCGTTTCGGAGGGAAACATCATTGCAGACCCTGATATTACCCGTACAGGCTCTAGACTCAGACTGGTTGGACTGGTACCGGCCTGGACCTACCCTACCGCTACTGGACTCTAAAAATGCCAACTTTGTCTTTTTCTGCTCGGCCTCCAGTACCACCTCACGCCAACTGCAGTGGGGTGCAGTATCGGCCTACCGGCCTACTTGAGTGTTTTTCCGCTACCCCAAGGGCCTCAGGGCCGCTAGCTTCGCCACTTGAGTGCTTTTCCCTGCTACAACCCTCAATGCCACGGCCACAGGTAAGTACCGGCCCCGCGGGCCTACCAAACAAGCAAGTACCCTTGCGGGTCACACACACACTCATACCGACAAGCACTCAAACAGGCATGCAGGTCACAAGCACGTGCACACAGACAGGCTTAGAAAACACAGCAGAATGTGGGAATCTCAGCAAGGCATCCATTCCATCGGCAGAACTTCAGAAATCAGCAGTGTTCTCAGTCTGTGTTTTGACGGGTCGTTACACTACCCCCCCCTCAAGAGCGAGGTCCCTTCGAGCGAGTAACTCATTCAGAGTCCTTGCACAATGCATCGTGGGCGTAGATGGCGAAGAGAGATCGGGTGTGTTCCGTAGGAGTCAGGGTAGCAGTGAATTTTGGTTGCTGTTCAGAACTTATCAATCGTTCGTAGGCGTTCACAACACGCGGTGCACTCTGTAGCAAGTCTTTCTTAGCAATCCAGTAGAAATCATCCAACGGATGGTACAGAAAATGGACTTTGTACTGTCTGTTTCTTCCCTTCCCACTGTGTTCGACAATCCTATCAACCTCATGACCGCCATTGATTGCGCGGGGAATCATTGATTCTCGATGCTTGAACGTTTCCGGTCATTCATACGGAAATAACTTCGATGCTTGAAAGACTGGATATGTGCGCAGATCAGCAGGCACATCGATTGTGTACGAAGGGCCAAAGGAATCACTCCCTACCTGGTTCAATACCTTCCACGGACCGTAGTACTGAGGAAGAAGCTTTCGTGACACACCTTCTTCTTCAGAAAACTCAGACATTTTGACCCAGACATAACTTCCCACTGTAAATAGTGCAGGCTGGCGCTTTTTGTTAGCATGTTTAATCATGGCACTGCGTCGCCTCTCCATAGCTGCGACAACAACTTTGAGCAGGCGATCAAACTTAGCGTTGTAGCCTGGCTGGCCAGGTGTTAGGCCAGGTGGCTGATCAGGGAACAAATAAGATAGAGGATTGCAGATTTTCCATCCAAGATGCAGCCGGTTAGGCGTCATCCCGGTGGAGGAGTGGATGGAGTTGTTGTACAACCCCTGCACAATCGGCAACTCCTCATCCCAAGAGTTTTGATCAGGTACAATTAGAGCCCTGAGAAGTTGGATCACGGTCTGGTTGATTTCCTGAGCCAGTCCATTGGCTTCGGGATGTCGCCCAGACGTCATCTTGAGTTTCATATCGTAGGTTTGGGAGGTGAAATCTTTCCAGTCCGCACTTATGAACCTGGTGTCCCGATCACGCACAAGAGTTTTCGGGGGGCCATAATGTAGAATGTACCTTTTGTTGAACTCATCGATCACAAGGTCAGTTGGGGCGTGAGGTGGCAAGGGAATCAAATTCAGAAAATTCGAGAACCGATCAACGATCACCATTACTTGTGAATAACCGTTTCTTCTCTTCTTCCCCATGTCCGTGAAGTCAATGGAAACAGACTCACCCGGGCCATCAGGGATAGGAAGAGGGTGCAGCAGCCATAGGGCTTCTGTCGAGACAGTTTAATGCGTTGACAGACTTCACACTCAGCTACAAACCTTTGCGCCATTCTTTTCCTTCCAGGCCACACAAACTTTTCCAACAGATTTCCGTATGTCTTCTCAACACCGAAGTGTCCACTCCGGCCATGGGCCAAGTCCAAAAAGTGAGTGAGGATCGGCTCATGGTTGGGTACACACAACCGGTCATGCTTCCCGTAGCATCGGAAAAGAAGGCCCTTACATTCATGGAAATCAGGCTGACTGCTAGGGTCAGCCCAAATCTGCTCAAGGATAGGACTGAGTTCCGGATCCCTGGCAGTGTGCTCAATGAGTTCCTCTTTCAGATTCTTACAAAGGTCATAGGAACCCACAAGGCAAGTCATATATTCGGGGTGGCGAGACAGAGCATCCGCAACACGATTATAGCAGCCTTTCTTGTGTTTGAGTTCAAAATCATACACATCAATCTCATGCAGCCATCGGGTCAATGTGGTTGATGAGTTAACCTGTGTCTGAATCCATTTCAAAGTCTCATGGTCTGAGAACACTTTGAAATGGCGACCCAAGAGGTAGTGTTTCCAGTGGTCTAGTGCCTCTCTCAAGGCATAGAGC